TGTTGTAAACTCCAGTAAACTGAAGGTTGATAAATAACGAATGAGAATCGCTGTTACGTTACGTGTTTTGGAATTTCGACCATCACTGGTTGACCCAGACTCTTGAACATGACTAAGATAATTTTAATAAACATCTATATTCTTAAATGTGAGTGCATACATTTAATCAATAAGATAAATGCGTCGTGCACGAGGTTTATAAGGCAATGTACGCCAGTAAATATCTTTGTTTATTTATTGTTAGGTTAACGATTTTGTTTTAAACTTATATAAAATCATGCCGTAGAACTTGTTAATTTCTCTTTTCGGTCATGTCTCTTTTTAGACAGACTCTCACTTCGACCGATGATAAGCGTAATTCTCTCCTCTCCCACCTTTGCATCTCTCTTGTGAATCATCGCCAACCCGCTTGTCCGCATCTTACTCGTCCGTTTCAAAGTTGTTCTTGGTAAATTTCCAACGCCATCGATCATTAGCTGAGCTGACCAGAAGTGTGGTCACTCAGTGAACTTAAATGTTAGGCAACTGACTTGGACACCATCTCCAATCATTGCCGAGCAGATAATTACGTATTAGCGTTTGCAAGCGGTTTGACTGCTGTTCGGCGCTATCAATATCGGTTCCTTCAAAGTTAGGCAAAGCTGTGTTTTATTCTCGATCACTGATTAAGAGAAACTGATATTGTTAAATATAGAAGTAAACATTTTTATCTATCTATACTTTCTGTCGAATATCAAACTGGCTTCTTCTATGTATCATATCCATTCATGACGTTGGCGATCATGGTCCTCCATAATTTCCTGTCCTTCGTAGCTCTTAGTAAATGTCTTTTTGTTATCTCTCCTAAGCCCTGTTCTACCATCCATTTACACAAGTTCGTTAGGTAGGTTATGTGTTGTTTTCCCATGTCTCTTCAACCTGTCCTGTGAATGTCAAATTTTTAAAGCCCTCTTTCTTCGTTATGTTATCTAGAAATATCAACTGTCTATTTCTGATGTTAAGTATCAGTGCTTTTTCTTTTTCCATTTTCTGTAAAGCTTCGTCGTTGCCCACAGGTACAGTCCATGATATTCCCAGCATCGTTCTGTAGAACGAGATTTCTGTTGCATCAAGTCTCTTCTTCATCTGTAAGAAGATTGTCCAGCATTCACTGCCATATAGGAGAACAGATATCACGTAACAGTTCAGTACTGGTTTCTTTGTTTCTAACGAAATTTTCCCGTTTCGTAATACTTTGCTTAGGTTTTTATTTTCTCAGGTTTTTATTTTCTTTTTAATTTATATCCTAAATCTGTTCAGGTCGTGGGCGATCACGGCTCTCCAAAACGTCTTACTTTTGACCCATACCATTCCTCTTTATCAACATCTGCCATCGATTCACACAAATTAACTAAGTTTCCCCCACTTCTCTTGCCTTCAGTATGTCCCGTGAGTGTCAAATTCTCCGACCCATCTTTCCTCATTATGTAGTCCAGAAATTTTAGCTACCCTTTTCTGATTGTAGTCATAAGTTTCTTCGTATTTCCCATTTTCCATAATACTTCCTTATTGCTCACATGTTCTGTCCATGAAATATTTCGTATTCGTCGGTAAAACCACATCTCTGGTATTTAAAGTCACTTTTTTATCTGTGAGGAATTTCCCAATAGATGATTAAATATTATACAACATTATTATCTTTTGCTTTGCTTCTTACAATATTTTCTTTTGCTTTGCTTCTTACAATATTTTCTTATCTCTTGATACTTTTCTTAGTTTCCGGCAGACATATTTCATTATTATTTCGATGCACCTTCGAATTTCTGAATCACAGTTTTTATCGTCTATTATTACACTACAACAGATAGTTAAATTTCTGTATCCTCTTGATTTTGAACTACCCAATGCTTAGTTCACTCCTATGATTGTCTCTTTTGTTGGCGATCATGCTTTCAACCTTCTAAACACCTAATAAATAGTCCTTTCTTCTAACTTTCCTTTACTGCTTTGCATAAAAGTTCTTTCAGTTACTTAACTGAATCTTTCAACAACACAGCGCAGTCTGCGCACCTTATATAATAAATCCTAGTAGATCTTCTCATTCTGTTAGGATCGATTCGCTATATCGTCTCATGAAATTAAATATATATATTTATTTATTCGTTTTCTATGGTTTATCAACACCCTGCATGTTATTTAAAGCCAGAAAATATTTTTTACACTATAAAGTTTTTTGAGCGATAATAATGATTTAGTGATACAGTTCTTATTAATTAACCCATAGCTGAGAGAGAAGGGATAGATTCATGCTTTTCACAAGGGCATAACGAACCCATCTAGAAACGGAATTCAGCTCTCCAATTAACAATTCCATGCTGTTATCCATTACAGCAAACGAACATTCAAGCTTATAGCACCTAGTATTCCCAAGCGGTAACCTAGCTAGGTACTGACCAGTATTGATGTTGCTTAACTTCGGTGATCTTACACGAACCGGTGTTTCAATCGGATGTGGCCGTAAGCCCAGAAATTAAGAAGGTTCTATCTGCACTTTTTGCAGCACTGAGATATTTGACTTCAAAGTTTGATTAACGATAACCATTGTTCATAAATTGACAGAAACGTGTCTTTACATACTATATATAGTTTTCTCGAGAGTAAATGAAGATTTATGTAAAAAAAACAAACAAACCTAAAGTGATCATATAGAGCATTGCAGAGATAATGTGTCACTCAGAAATACCGAAAATTGCAGATAGATCGTTTTTTAATCTCAGGTGACGATATAGGTTAAATAAACTCGGCAAGAAAACGCATCCTTGTCTTTATTCACAGTTTATGTATTCATTGAACACGTTCTGTATCCACATTCAGGCTATTTGTTCACACTAGAGGTTACAGATTACTTCTCCTGTAAATCAAGCTTTTTAGCATTCCAAACAGGTCTTTGTTTAACATTTTATAAAATGTGTTATATCTATGAGATATACCTATGATTCATATTCTTTCTGTCGCTCTGATAATATTCTGATAACAAAGACAGCATTTCTTGTTCTAGTATCTTGAATGGAGCAACACTCCTTTCCTATTCACTATCAATATCTCTTCATAAGAATCCCAATAAGTTTAGTTATGTGGTTCATTAAGCTGACTGTCCGATAGAATTATCATTCGTTTACACCTGGCGTTTTTGTCATCGCTATTAAGATAAACCTATTGAAATCTTCCGGTATTTCACTGGTGTTATATATTATATCTACTAGTTTAATAATCTTATCGAACCAAATATAATCTAAGTCTAATATAATCTCTATTACAAACCTCATCCTGCTGCATTGGTTATTTTGGCTAGTGCTGCTCTCAAGATTTTAGTATTACAGGTCCTTCTGTTAATACATTGTAGGTTTCGGTCTTTTGTTGTTATGAAATTGCTCTCCGATGTATTCGTTCCATATTTGTAGTTGTTTTTTCTTTATCTATTATGAGTATTTCCTTTTAGACTTTATGCATCCTGCAGAAGAGCACGTTTTCTGTTTTGCTATTATAAAATCTTTTTTTTAAAAAAAACTGCTAAGTTTATTTTCTGTAGTGTTTTTATCTCTGTATATATCTCGTTGAGCCACTTGTCTTGCACATATTTTAAATCTCTTTATTTAAAATCCTATATTCTCTGTCATTTTAGTTCGACAATTTCATCTGTACATCCATTTCTTTTATTTTCCTTTTCCCTTGGACTGACTTCTTTTCCTGTTGTCGCTAGTAATACACTTATGGCTTCCCACTTTGAATTATTAATCTCTTCTAAAATTTTACATTCGTCCTTAACTACACCTGCATTTGTTTGTTTGTAATTTGAGTCGTTCTCGAGTATTTTAGGAATTGTTTTAGATTTCTTTTCTGTTCTTCAGTGTATATATATAACATTACAAATGCAGACACAAACAGAGATTTTAAATGTTTGTGAAGTTCTAAAAATCAAAAGAAATTTATTTAGACATTTATCTCAGTTTTTGGAACAAAGCCAATGATCAGCAATTTAACTCCAGTTTCAGCTGTACAAGAAAATATCATATATTATGATTTTTCTTGGGAAAATAATATTCTATATGATAAAGATCCTATTTTGGTCTGAGTGATTTTGTTACCATAACATAACAAAAAAACGGCCCATCGTAGTGAGATCTTGTTAGGATGATACTATTAAAAGAATAAAGCTATTTTCAATTCAACTTTCAACTTATTAATAATCGTGTGTGCGGAACTGTATTCGCACTCACGCCGATAATAATGAGCCTATTTTTGTATGTTTGTTTATATGTTACAGAAGCTGGAAAGAAAATCATATCAGCGCTGAAAGAAGAATGGAAATAAAATGTTTGCTGATGAATAAAATAATGATACCGTGAAATAATGATATCTTTATTTTGTAAAAAAAAAAAAATACATATCTTAATATTAAAAAAATGAATTGCTAATTACAAAGTGGCTCACCCTTATTTGCTTATTTTTTATTTTCGAATAATAAAATAAATAAACACAAAGAGATTTGATATAAGGCTCTCGTTAAGCGAATATTAATAAGACAGATCCCTTATTCCACTTTGTTTCGATTTGTTTTCGAAAGACAAGAAAGAATAAAAAATATAAAAGGAATAAATGATTCGAATAGAAATAATTCAATTCTTTTGTTTGATTGGCGAAGTGTAAAGAGACATGACACAAACTGACATTATTATTTCATCTGACGGTTAATAAATGTTCTTTGACAATTTACTACAAAAATGTATGAATGCTACACAACCAATTCTCAGTGTCTCCCTTGTATTTTTGATGGTCAATAAAAAAGTGAAATGAACCAGCGTCAGACAATTTAGAAATAAGGAATTCCACTTTCATTTGTACACAATAAGCTTGGATAATTCGATAATGATTTGGTTAATTGATTTGTTTATTTTTATGTCTTATCGATCTTTTGCAGATTATTTAATGCCAGAAATATATTTCGATTATAACAATTTTTTGGAGATAATAATCACTTACTGGTAGAAGTCCTATTATTTAATCCATAGTTGGTGGGGAGAGGTGTGGATTCATACATTTCCCAAGGGTATCTGCGCATAAGGGAATATAACGAAATCAACTGGAATCGTAACCCGGCTCTTCGGTTTCCAAGACCCAACCGTTATCCATTAGACCACTCGCACATTCAAGCACCTGATATTCTCAAACGGTCGCCCATCTAGGTAGTGATGAAGCTCTACGTTGCTTAACTTCATTGTTCGTACTAGAACCTGTGTTTCAACGTTATGCGGTCGTAAGCAATTCAATAATGAAAGAAAATAAACCAATGTGATTTGTTCAGGTTAACCGCGTTCAATAGAAATGTTTGTTCGACGGAGCGAAAAATTGAAGAATGCCTTTGAAAAGCGGCAAATGGAGCAGAACGTGTTGTAAGTAACTTAAAAGCACTATCACGTCATCTCCAAACTTTTAGATTATTATGAAAGAGCAGTAAGAAGAAAACCATTTAAAACAATCAACATTCAGTAGAATTTATAAATGTAAAAGACAATAGGAAAACTGTAATGGTAGTCGACGCGTTTCGTCCAATGTAGACTTTTCAAGGCAAAAACGAAATGAATTTATTAAACAAAGTAACTAATAATAACAAAACAAAATGTCCTTAGCAAAACTGGAAGAATTTAGAGAACGCTATTTTCATACTGGTAACTTGACGTAATTTTCAGTTAACAGTATGAAAATAGCATTCTCTAAATTCTTCCAGTTTTGCTAAGGACATTTTGTTTTGTTATTATTAGTTACTGTGTTTAATAAACTCATTTCGTTCTGGCCCTGAAAAAGTCCACATTGGACGAAACGCGTCGACTACCATTACAGTTTTCCTATTGTCTTTTACATTTATAAATATTGTCTTTTTCTACAAGTTAACTCTGAAAAATTTTTCATATTCAGTAGAATAAAAAACGGCGATGAACTGGACTGAGTATTGCGTTTTGGTACGCTGCTATCTTTTCAGATAAAGTTTCATTTGTTCAGTTTTTGAAAAGTGGACGAGTACGCATCTAGAGATTACTTCGGTATGAATTTCAACTTTACTAGCAGTAGCCTATAGGCACGTGACCGAGTGGTTAGAACGTTCGCAGTCTGACCATGAGACCTGGGTTCAAATCTCAAGAGACTTCCTGTTGTCATCTTTGAAAACCAACCACTTGTGAATGAAATTGGGTAGAACGTGGGACCGTCGACTAGCTGTGCTAGCACGAAGCCACAAACCATTGTGGCCGAGAGCTTGAAATTTGATCCCACAAACTGTATGGTTGTAGTATAGGATCTATGGGTGCTGAACAAACACAAATTCGCCTGAGCAAGCGTCTAGTAGACGGATATCCCCGAATACGGGTGGTCAGCTATACAAGTATCCTACTTATCAAGGTGAATACTTCAGTTAATAGTCTATGACTACTAAGACAGCTGACGTCATGATTCCACCATCTTTAAGGTATATAAAAGTGAGCAACAGTGGGTTTTGTGGAAATTACGAAATTTATAAGTCATCCACTGAAAACCATGAAATTGAGACTATGTTGGTATTGAGAATGAGTTACGAAGTCACCAATTCAGAATGCCAAAATATGACTTCCCAGGGTATCCTTCACAAGTCTTGACATCAAAGACATATAACAAATATATAAACCAATCGAACTGTTTATTTATTAAACAAATTTTAACAGCTTACAGGTATATTTATCAGAGTTACTTTTTTCGCTTATGTGTAAAACATTACATATTTATTTCATTGTCACGTTTTCTTTCTAAACATTTTTATTGGTAAGTCTACGAGAAATTTCTGACTGAAGAAGTGTAATTTTATCAAAGACAATTTTATTTGGACTACTTCCCCTTGCATTACTGTTCTGATTCATTCATTATTGGAAACCAATAAAAATATAAAATTCTGGTTCCCGGGATCTCTCTCTCTCAGCACCTTACATTGCATTATGAGGTATAGTCAGTGGCATGTCCTGATATCTTCGGCAAAATCGTTGAACTTGAGTAATTTACGGAAGCTACACAAAAAGAGTGTGTGTTATTTTGCTCTTGTCGGGCGGTAAATATATTTAACTTTTCGTTAAAGCTATTGTACGCAATATATGAATAATTTTCGTAAAATACATATGGCACTGGCAATATACGAACCCGTTACTCCGAGTCTCCAACATTGGCGTTCCATCAAATGAATACTAGAACTAAGAATTAAGGCTTTAGAAATCAAAATTCAAGAATTTTCCATTTCTTCTTTTTGAGGCGTGCAGCAAAGTCAATAAAAATTATTGATTTTTTCTCTCACACATAATTGTTCGTCTGCTTCATAGACATTTTAGCCCAGCTCTTCGTTTGGATGTTTTGTATATTGTCGGTATTATGCTGACTGAAAATTCTTTCTCTTTGGTAAAAAAACAAAAAAAAACAAACAAAAAAACAAAACAAAACAACAAAAAA